CTTTCAGAAAGCTTTAGGGAGCTGCAGAGTTTATCAATGGACCAGGATGGGCTTTCAGTTGTACGTTGCAGGGAGTGGAGGATAAGGCTAAATTCATCCTGTTATTGCTCAGGGTTTAGATATGCTCTTAAATATAAATGTCATAGTACGCTGTGTTAGGAAGCTGGATGCTTTGCTGGCAGAGTGCTCATAGCTTCAGTGCTGTTTTCCTGGCAGTGTTTCTCCTGTGTAATAGATATCCCATAGCAGTAAAAATGCAGCTTTGAAGTAGCTGAGCCCATCCACAGGACCGCGCCTGGCAAGCTGGGGATCAGTCTTTCTAGACCTTTGCCAACACACCTATGTGGCACCGACACCACCAGTATCTCACTGCACGTAATGCTGGGAAGAGTTTCTTCCGCTACGCTGGGTTTTTGACTAAAGCTACATTTGGGTGGAAGTGACTTCTAGCAATGTGTAAAAGCATGCATCCTACTCCAAGTGAAACTTCTCTTCATTTTATTCAGTGAAATCAGGTATAAACATACAAGAATTATTCTACTGCTGTAGAGACCTCAGTGCAATAGCAGCTTTTAAGAGAACCAGAAAGTGAACTAGAAGAATTTAAATGTTTTCAGAAAGAAATTGTTGAGTGCAAAGGATCAAGATAAACGTGGATTTTTAAAAATTAATGGCCTGTGTGTGTATGTAAACTTGGAGCACACAGGTAAGCCTGCTTGCCGGTATGGACAGTTTTCCACTATATATTTTTGGGAGGAATCAGGACCTCCTATCAGAAAGGTGTTTGGGTTTTTTTTCCCTCCCTGGTATCCATTTCAGTTTCAGTTGGCTTTTTCTCTTCTGAGTTATTAATTCTTGAGGTATGTAAACGCTGGGTATAGATGGGAGTGTAACAGTATCCAGAATTTTATGGTGTAGCTTATTCACTTAGGGGGAATTGCACTGACAAAGGCATTTTTTCTTCATGGAAAAGTCTTCATCTGGTTTAGGAACTTTTCTGGAAAAGCTGTTTCTAGTGTAAACTCAGTGGGAAGTAACATCGATGCAAAACGATAGAGCTGTAATATCTCTTCAGGTGAGAGAGCCAATTACCCTTGAATTTTCCTTAGGGCCTTTGCAGTGTTTTTTTTGTCTTCCCCCTGATTTATAGGTTTTGGGGAGAATAAGCGAGGCTTGGACATGCTTGGGAGGAGAGGGAGCTCCTGAGAAGTGGGTTTGTTGTGTTCAGGGAGGAGAATCTGTCTGAGGCTGCCCCAGGACATGTGATGGAGGGTGACTTAAAACCTAGGATGTATTTTCACAGCTGTTGTGGGAGCTTTTTCCATTTAACACAGCACAGATGTGAATGAGAAAATATAAATTGAAGATTAATGTACACCATCCTGGCGTGTGAGAGGTTCAATTATAGGCAGAACAAGCAGAATAATGGAAAATACATTTGAGTGATTGTTCAGTTAATATAATTTGCAATGAATTATTCACAACAATTTGTTCACCCAGCTCTTATTGTAATCATTTTCATTCCTTCATTTGCTATGCGTTTGAAACTGCTTCCCACAACTTGCGCTTGACACGTAATAAAGTATATCCACGCATCCAGCCGCCTCCCCCCACCTGCCCCCGCCTACATGCAAAGGACACTTTTTAAAGAGCTCAGCATTTTAGGCACTGAGCTCTCTTTAAGAAGTTAATCGTAAGTGTTAAAGTGGAGGCTGCTGCCTGCTGAAACCGCCGCTGGGGCCCCTAAAA